CCTTCCTTCCTTCCTTCCTTCCTTCCTTCCTTCCTTCCTTCCTTCCTTCCTTCCTTCCTTCCCTCCCTCCCTCCCTCCCTCCCAGTGGTTAGAATGCAATATTGCAAGCTAACTTTGCCCACTGCCAGCAGTTCGATTCCCACCGGCTCAAGGTTGACTCAGCCTTCCATCCTTCTGAGGTCAGTAAAATGAGGGCCCAGATTGTTGGGGGCAAGAGGCTGACTCTGTAAACCACTTAGAGAGGGCTGTAAAAGCACTGGGAAGCGGTATATAAGTCTAAGGGCTATTGCTATCAGTCTTTTAAATCTGATTCTCAGCACCAGGACAGAGGCATCTTTGAAGCTTCAGATTTGAAAAGCACATATGATTGTTTTGAAAAGCACATATTATCTGCAACATATCCCTGTCCTATTCCCCCAGACCATCACTGCAGAGTATTTATTTCATTCACAGGGAGGTGGGGGAAGAGCGAAGGAGGGAGGAACCTCCTCCCCCTTCTTTATAACCCTTTTATATTTAAACAAATCCAGGGACAAAGTATAATGATTGTGAGTTTCCGGAATGGGTTGAAAAACAAACTTTAAGCCCCTCGGTGACAGTTCAGCCGTTCGAGGTCAAAGTGATAGAAAGCAGAAGAGAAAATAAGCAGCTGTTCGAAGCGATCAGAGAGATGCCAGCCTGGAAAAGTCTTCTTAAAGGCACAGCTTCCCTCCAGCCTTGGTGGTTCCATGGCTCCCCTTTTTCCTTGTGCTCCATCACTGCTCCTCCTCTCCTCCTCCTCCTCCTCCTCCTCCTCCTCCTCCTCCTCCCCCCCCCCCCCCTCCCCCCCCCCTCCCCACACCCCCTCCTCCCCTCCTCCTCCTCCTCCTCCTCCTCCTCCTCCTCCTCCTCCTCCTCCTCCTCCTCCTCCTCCTATTATGGAATAAAATCTTCTCTTCCACCTCCTTCATTGTTGCAATACTAACTTCTCCTTTATGAAAAAAATATCCTTCCCTTCCTCTTTCTCCATTAATATGAAAACATCTCCTGTCTTCCTCCTCCTTCTCCTCCTCCCCCTCCTCCCTCCATTATTCTGAAATCTTCTCCTCCTTCTTCTCCTCCTCCCTTTCCTTCTCCTCTTCCTCCATTATTCTGAAATCTCCTCCTTCTCTTCCTTCTCCTTCTCCTTTTCCTTCTCCTCCTCTTCCTCCATTATACCAAAATCCTTTCCTTCTCCTCCTCCTTTTCCTTCTCCTCTTCCTCCTCCTCTTCCTCCATTATTCTGAAATCTTTTCCTTCTCATCCTCCTTTTCTTTCTCCTCTTCATTGTGAAATCTTTTCCTCCTCCTTTTCCTTCTCCTCTTCCTCCTCCTCTTCCTCCATTATTCTGAAATCTCCTCCTTCTCTTCCTTTTCCTTCTCCTTTTCCTTCTCCTCCTCTTCCTCCTCTTCCTCCATTATACCAAAATCCTTTCTTTCTCCTCCTCCTTTTCCTTCTCCTCTTCCTCCTCCTCTTCCTCCATTATTCTGAAATCTCCTCCTCCTTCTCCTTTTCCTTTTCCTTCTCCTGCTTTTCCTTTCCTCCTCCTCCTCCTCCTCCTCCTCCTCCTCCTCCTCCTCCTC